GTTAAATTTTAGAAGGACGCAGCATAGAGGACAGGCAAAGAATGGAGATCGGGATAGTAAGGAGTGAGACACAGCTCAGAGAAGAATAGAAACACCTACAGCTTGGTGATCAGATAGATTCTCAGACCAGAGCTGAGTCTTATATTAGCATAGTTTAATTTGAGTTTGTGAAAACTATAGCATTGTTTGTTTTGTCCATATTCATGCATTAAAATTATTCTTAACATTGAAAACAACAGAATAGAAACACCTAGGTGCCTGGGTTTACACCAACCTTTATAATTTTCTCCATGAGCTAAAGCAAGTTACCCAACCTGTCTTAGCTTGGTTTTGTCATAGAAAGTTAATATCCATCTGCCAAGGTTAGTGTGGCACTGGCAAAAATGTGTTTAAAGCTTCTAGTTCCACATCGGGCCTAAAATTGGCATTCAGTAAATTAAAACATATTACTTACTTTTTAGATTTCACATGATGTTTTAAGCATCCTCCTTAAGATTCCATAGAATTGTACTGTGCTTACTGAGCAACACAGTCCACGTATGAACAACAAGAAATGGTAGTGAGTAGGGAGGAAGTGATGAGTGTGTTTTTTCCAAAGGAAATACAAGGTATGTTTTAAGATTCTGATGTTTAGTTAGGCGGTGGTGGCGCACGCCTTTAATCCCAGCACTTGGGAGGCAGAGGCAGGCGGATCTCTGTGAGTTCGAGACCAGCCTGGTCTACAAGAGCTAGTTCCAGGACAGGCTCCAAAACCACAGAGAAACCCTGTCTCGAAAAACCAAAGAAAAGAAAAAAAGAAAAGATTCTGATGTTTAACTGTCTTATGATATTTGGGAATGTTCAAGGGTAGTTAGTATCTGGGGTAGTTGGCACACTCCTGTAATCCCAGCTTCCTGGAGTCTGAGGCAAGAGTCAATTTTAAGGCTAAATGGGTTATGCAGTGAGATTTTGGTCTCAAAAGAATGTGCTAGGCTGGAGAGATGGCGCAGTGGTTTAAGAGCACTGGATGTTCTTCCAGAGGACCCGAGTTCAATTCCTAATGCCCACATGGCAGCTCACAACTGTCTCTAGCTCTGGTTCAGGGAACAAGGCACCTTTATACCAATGCACATGAAATAAAATTAAATAAGTTATTAAAAACAAACAAAAAAGAATGTGCTGTTTTTGGGTTGGAGTTTTTCCTATTAGTTTTCTGTAGTTCTATTTCCAAGTACTTGCATATAGTGTAGCCTATTGGTGATTTGTCTTTCTACTACGAGATCCTACCATTACACTCATGCAGTAGTTGTCCTCCAGTATCTTGCAGGACAGGGGAATGGTTCAAAGACCTACCCATACTAAAATGGTATAATATTTGCATATAATCTGGACATCCTTGCACATCCCACAACTGATATACTTTAAATTATCTCTTAGATACTTGATACAATGTAAATACTTTTTACTTGTTATGCTGTATTATTTAAGTGCTGTGGGGGAAAAGTACATGTTGGGTGTAGATGTAATATTTTTTCTGCATATTTGTGATCCTCAGTTGAACTGCAGTGTGATCATGTATTCCCAGTGTGTAGCATATTAACTTCTAAAATGACTAGAGAATGAGTATAGTAGTGTAGGAGAGGTGTAACTTATTATATAGTATAGTGTATATCATAGTTCTTGTGATAAAATTTAAAAGCAAAGAAAAAAATTAGAAGCCCTAGCATGAAATAAACATTTCAGACTGCTTAACTATGTCACTAGATTGTTGTTGGGGGCGGGGAGGTGTCTCACTGGGGGAAAAAGAGGCACATTTCTCACTTAGGAACCACCGTATACAAACACTTACAAGCATAAAAGTAGTGAAATATTTGGTTGACTGTGTGGTATGATTTGATAAGAATAAAATGATAGCCAGGCTCAAGATTTTGAAGACTAAGTGATTCAAAGAATTTGGGTTTCAGTTTTCTTCTCAATTTTTTTTTTAATTTTTAAAATTTTTACCTGGGTGGTGGTGGTGCATGGCTTTGAATTCCAGCACTTGGGAGGCAGAAGCAGGCAGATCTCAGTGAATTTGAATATCTACAAAGTGGTATTCAGGACAGCCAAGACTGTTGTTAAACAGAGAAATCCTGTCTTGAGAAAAACAAACAACAATAAATAATTTTTATGTGCATGGGTGTTTTGCCTGCACATACAAGAACAGCCTTCAGGAGGTCACGGGTTTGAGACAAAATATGACAAGGCCTGACCCTTCCTACATCTTCCCAGATACAATTTAAATGGCACTACCTTTCACTGGACGCCCTTACTCTGGTGTTTGTCCTGCTGCTTTAGTAAACATTTGAACATCTATTGTGTGTCACACTAGGAGCTAATACAACAACCATTAATGAAATGCAGAAAGGAGCTGGGTTTTAATTTACATGATATTTGAAAACAAAATTAAATATTAAGTGGTAAAGAGGTGCCATGGAGACTTGTAGAAATGGATGGAGATTTCACACTGGACTTTGTACTTTATTGTCTATGGAAATTGGAATTAGAGACTGAAAGATAAAGACTTGTTCAAGAGTAGACAGCTTTGTTGCAAGTAGCAGCTTGTTCGTCCCAACCACCCAGCTAGCTTAGACCCAAAATAATCACACAAAAACTGTATTAATTAAATCACTGCTTGGCCCATTAGCTCTAGCTTCTTTTCCCTGCCTACCTAAGTTCTGCCCTATCAACAGGCCAAAGCAGTTTCTTTATTCATTAGTGGTAATCACAGCACACAGAGGAGACTCCCATATCACCCCCCCTTAAAAAGGAATGTTTTAACTTTACCATAGTAAAATTACATATAACAGGTATCAAGCAAGAATTACAGTTACAATATTTATATCTACTTTATCTTTTATTATAACTAAGGAAAACTATAACTGTAAAGTCTTCAACTCCATCAAAGACTCCAGAAGGATATAATTTTACCTAAGTAAACTGGAAGTTCATTGTAAGCAACTTCTAAAACACTAAAAATGGACAGAGACATCTTGCTGCCTGGACAGTCACCCAAAGTTCTTCTGTACCATTGGGGCATCCATCTTCAGCCTACAGGATCATAGTATCTGGCAGACTTTTCCTTGAAGCAGGAAATTTCAAAGACAGGTCTGCCTATGTTGGCAGTTTGCCAGTCACTTTCTTCTATATCCTCCAGAATGTCTTGCAGACTCTTTCATGAAGCAGGAACCCCGAAGGATTGTCTCACCTTTAGGCAAGTTCAGCAGTCATCTCTCTGTGGGTCCTGCATGTCCAATTCATCTAACAAACTGCATAAGGAGCCTCTTTGATAACCATCTTCCTCTTGAAATAGATTGGTGCTGCCAGGAGCAGATGTGTCTCACTGTCATGAAAAGTCATAAATTTTTAAAACAATTTAAATGCCATATTCTGAAAGTCTCTGAAAGATTTGAAGAATACCTATATCACTGAAGTATATCTCTGTACATCTAAAAACCTAACTAACATAACTACAATCTTGACTATTATAGATGATTCTCTATTAAGCTATATTTCTTAATTATATATTACATTTTTAAATGAGCTGTACAAACACAATACCTTAATCAAGAGACAATTATACATATAACAAAATTGACCTTAAATTTGTATCAGTAAACCAAGATCCATACAAATGCAAATTATTCATATCTATATCATATCCCCTTTTAAATGTAAACAAACATTACAATATTTGGAAATATGGGTGTAGTTATTTCTCAAAAACTTCCTGCTGTTTATTGAGTGAAGTAATTTCTTTGTCGGGTATATTTTTTGAGGTGTATTCAAGACAACCTTTCAGGCTTGGTCCATCAAACCATATTGGTCTGGAAGCAACCCACAGGTTTTCATCTTCTGTGAAAACAAATGAAGAACCTCTTTTCCAAAGTAACATATCCTTAGACTCAAATTTTGGAATCAAAATACCTTTATGTTGGTTTAACTTAGCAGTCCATACAGTGGAATGTCTCTCTGTACTTAGCTCCTTCACAGTCAAAGAATTAAAAGATAACACAATAAAATACATAATCCTGACTGTAAATTTTCCATTTTTATTTTTCTTTACTCCTTTTGATCTATGACTATACTCTTTAAAGATTTTACCCTTTTTTTAAGATTTAACTTTATTTTATGACTATATTCTTTTTCTTCTCTCTTCCAAGCCTACATACATTTATCTAGCACTATGTTTTTGTCTTTATTGCATATCTAATCCTTTACTGTCCAGGAGCACTTTTTAAAATGTTAAGTGTTTCTTAAAACTTAAGATGTGCCATTAATAAGGTATGTACGGTTCTGTCTTCTTGCTGGTCCAGCCTAAAACTTAAACTGCGCCATTACTATAGTATATATGGTATTCTCTGATTGCCTGCCCAGTCCAGCATGGCAGAGCTGCTAGCACCTCTTGAGAGCTATGCACACAGCCAGTCCATGTCACCATTAAGCAAGCTGCAACAGTCTGCTAACAGACCCCATCCAAATGCTCTCTAGCCAGACCTCCAGCCTGAAAGAGTCAGAGTTTGCGCTGGCAGGGCCTAGAAAGCCGGCATTTTAAAACCACCACTTTTTTCCTGCTACAGCTGAATCAGAAAAACCTCTCTTAAAGGAGCTGCCACATGCCAGCAAACAGCAAGAAGCTGTGTTAAACTCTGTATTTTTGTGTCTAGAATTCCTTTTTAAACTCTCTCACCTTTTTAAGTGGATTTAGTTGGCCACGTAGGCACCAATCCGTTGCAAGGAGTGGTTTGTTCGTTCTGGTCGCTTGGCTTGCTTAGACCTGAAATAATCACACAAAACTGTATTAATTAAATCACTGCTTGGCCCATTAGCTCTAGCTTCTTATTAGCTAACTCTTATATTAATTTAGCACATCTCCATTAATCTGTGTACCACCACGAGGTCATGGCCTACCAGCAAAGTTTCAGCATGTCTCCAGTGGTGAATCCATGGCATCTCTCTGACTCTGCCCTTCTTTCTTCCAGCATTCAGTCCAGTCTTCCTTGCCAACCTAAGTTCTGCCCTATCAACAAGCCAAGGCAGTTTCTTTATTCATTAATGGTAATCACAGCACACAGAGGAGACTCCCACATCACGGCTTCTTGTTCTAACTGATAAAAATAGAATTTTAAAACAAAACAAAATTAGTCCTTAGTGTCTTAACACGAGGCTATACGTCTCTGAGTATTACCAGAAGAAGTTATCGATTTCTGTGATGCTGCTCGTGGCCAAGGCTGGAAAGGCTCCTACAGTCTGTCCATGGAGAATGGAAAGAAGTCTTCAGAGTGTAGTGTTTGGTAAGCTTCGTTCCTGCTGAGTGATTCAGAGTGTAGTGTTTGGTAAGCTTTGTTCCTGCTGAGTGATTCAGTTAGTTCCAGCTTTTTTTTTTTTAAAAAAAGCAAACAACACAGTAAATTATCTTAAGTGTGTTTTTATCACCTCCTCAAAGGAACAGGTGGGATTTGAGCCCATCAAATCTTTCTGACTTCAGAGTATTGGTAAAAGTTGTTAGACTCTGGGGTCATATGCTAGAGAGTTTTCCCAGGCCTTCTGCTGGTGTTGCACTATTGACTTCGATTTAAAATAGAACCAAGACTTACTCGGCATGAAAAACTGACTTAAAATACAAGCTCTAAAAGAGACTTCTCAGCATTGAGACATTAGCTAATACACAGGCATTAATAGAGCTCTGCTTTGGGACTCACAATAGCAGTACAATTTTGGTCTTGATTTCTATTAGTTATGTACCTTGACCAAGTCAAACCATCTCATTCACAATTTTATTTTATAAAATAGCAATGTGAAGATTAAATTAAGACACATTCATCATGATATTATCAAACAACATACTGTTTTAAAAAAAAATCAAATTTTAACTGCAGTGGGAACATCAGCAAAGGAAGCAATTCCTTTGACTCAAGTGAAAATGATCAGTTGGACTGAAAAGACTCCTGAAAGTAGAAGGGGTAAACTAAACAGCTGATTCTATACAGATGACAGGAGGCCACTGTTACTAAGTCCAAGCCTGAAGGTGTTGGAGTCTGTATCCTTAGCAAAATTCTAAGTTAGTGCTTTTCCAACAGGTTTCTTAGTTTGATACCCTAAATCAGCATATTTGGCCTTTATAAATTTGCGTCTCTACAGGGGCTGTAAAGATGACTCAATAGTTAACAACATTGGCAGTTCTTCCAGAGACCTTGAGTTCAAATCCCAGCAACCACAGAATGGCTCACAATCATCTGTAATGGGATCCGATGACCTCTTGGCATGCAGGTGTACATGCAGATAGAGTATTACCACATACATAAAATAAACAAAGCTTTAAAAAAATTGACTCTCTGCTAAGACTTTGATTTGTTTTACTAACATTACTTTTACTTTATCTAATGTTCAATGTGTATTCATTCAGTGGATGAATGAAAACATTTTTCTTTGGATTTTCCGAAGATGATTTTAAAGTATTTTTCAATCTGGTACTATGTATTCATTTAAAATTTTAAAACTTCAATGTTTATGGGCATTTTACGTGCATGTATTATGTGTGTGCACTGCATGTGTGCCTGGTACCCACAGAGTCCAGAAGACATGCGTCTCCTGGAACCAGACATACAGATGGTTATGAGCATGGTTATCTTCATGCTGGGAAGAGAACCTGGGTCCTTTACAGGAACCAAAAGTGTTCTAACTTCTGAGCCATGTTTCTAGCCCCTATTTCATCAATTTTGAAACAGGGACTTACTGAGTACCCAAGGCTGGCCTCAAACTTAGAGCAGTCCTCCTGTCTTAGTATCCTGAGTGGTAGAATTATAAGTGAGCACTGCTATATCCCTCCCTACTATGCATTTATATTTGGTCTTGTAAAACATAGTCTCTAGCTAGATAATCTTTATTTGTTAATTTTCTTGAGACAGGATCTACCAATGTAGCTCTGGCTGGCTTAAAACTCAGCAACGTAGACTAGGCTGTCCTGGAATACACAAAGATCTGCCTGCTTCTACCTCTGTATAGTGTTGAGAATAAATACATGTACCACTGTGCCTGACTCTGTAATTGATTTTTTTTTTCCAGTTCTTTTATTTTATGTGCATTAGTGTTTTGCCATGGGTTTTTGGTCCCTGTAGAACTGGAGTTACAGACAGTTGTGAGCTGCCAGGTGGGTGCTAGGAGTTGAACCTGAGTCCGCTGGTAGAACAGCCAGTGACCCTTAACCACTGAGCCATCTCTCTAGCCCCTGACACCATAATCTTAAAGCAGAAGAAAATTAAATAAAAGGCAACAGAAAGTCCAGAATAGAATCTATCCTTATCTGTGTCATTAGCTTAAGTGATTTTTTTTCCTTCTTTTGGAGTTGCTGTTTGTTTATGTTTAATATTATTGATGATTTCTGATTTGTAGTTTTTTGTTTTTATTATTTTGTTTAATACTTAGGAATGGTGCAACTCTTTTTTTCTGAGACAGGGTTTCTCTGTGTAACAGCCCTGGCTGCCTGGCACTCTCTTTGTAGACTAGGCTGGCCTTGAACTCACTGAAATCCACCTGCCTCCCAAGTGCTGGGATTAAAGGTGTGAACCACTACTGCCCAGCTGAATGGTGCAACTCTTGATAAGTGTTTTAGTTGAGACTTAGATGAGAAAATAGTATTTGGCATATTATGTATGTTCAATAAGTATATGTTTAGTTAAAAATCCAAAGCACAGGGGATGGAGAAGTGCCTCAGTGGTTAAGAGTACTTACTGCTCTTACAGAAGAGGGCCTGGATTCAATTCCCTGCACCCACACTGTGGCTCAAAATCATTATTAACTCTAGTTCCATGGGATCTGAAGCCCTCTCGTGCCTCGTTGGGTACTGCGTCCATGTGATATACATACATATTCAAGAAAAAGTCAGTGCACACATAAAATACTGATCTTAAAAAAAATTAAGCCTAAGCCAACTAATCTTTGAGTTGGAAAGATTAAACACTTAGCTTTATTGATGCAGTGAACATAGTGCTATAGTTGTTTTTGTTGTGGTTTTTAGTTCTGTTTTTGTTTTATTTTCTAGATAGGGTTTCTCTGTGCAGCCCTGACTGTCCTGGAACTCGCTCACTCTGTAGACCAGGCTGGCCTTGTAGAGTGTAGGAGAAGATTGAGTTTTTACTGGAAGATATTTCCAAGATGTAGAATTTCTGTTTCCCTGCGTTGAATTTATCTCTTTTGTGTATTAATATGAGATTTTGTTTACTATAACTATCATATATTTTAAATTTTACTATTGATGATCATAGGGAAATATAGTTATTATACTTTCACAATAACCAGGTGTTTTAACTTTATTTATGTGTAAAGTATTAAAAATTAAAAGCAAGAGTACTGTTAAATTCCCCTTTGCTTTTGGAAACCAAGACCAGAGGTGCAGTATGTGCCAAAGGCAGCCATGTAGGTAGGTGGGGTTACTATAAAGAGAGTGTTTTGTTTATTTGTAATCTGAACTATTTTGACCCAGAATAGCACAGAATGCCTTAGCAGAATGAAAGCATAAATTACAAGTAGCAGGTGTCCTGGAAAAATATTTTACAAGCTTTCAAAAAAAGTTTTATTTTTAGTTTGACCATTTTTTAAAACAATAGAGCATAATTGATTATGTGACATATATTTTATATGAATCTTTATGGTTTTTGTTTTTCAGGCATTTAAAAATATATAACCATTTATGAGTTGAGCCTCATTCTTGAGTTATGGATGACAAGGCTTCTGTTGGAAAAATCAGTGTCTCCTCAGACTCAGTATCTACTCTTAATAGTGAAGATTTTGTCTTGGTTTCCAGGCAAGGAGATGAGACACCATCTACAAATAACGGAAGTGATGATGAGAAGACTGGACTAAAGGTAAAGCTTGAGAGACTAAGTTTGTCTTATCCAGTGCACAACTTGGACTTAATAGGGAAAAGACTAACATGGGAAGAACAGAGAACTCATAGATATACTTCTCAGTGGTGTTGAAGACTTTTGTATATACTTAATGAGTTAGTTTTTATTTAAGGATTTTTTCTTTTTTTTATTGATTTTTTATTTTTTCTCTACTCCCCTCCCTGCCTCTATCCTCCCCTACAACACTCCCAAAAGGTCCCCATTCTCCCAATTTACTCAGGAGATCTTGTCTTTTTCTACTTCCCATGTAGATTAGATCTATATATGTCTCTCTTAGGGTCTTCATTGTTGTTCTCTGGGATTGTGCTTTGTGAACTAGTTTTGTTTGCTTTATGTTAAAAAACTACTTATGAGTGAGTACATGTGATAATTGTCTTTCTGTATCTGGGTTACCTCACTCAAAACGATGTTTTCTAGCTCCATCCATTTGCCTAAAAAAATTCAAGATGCCATTATTTTTTTTTCTGCTGTATAGTACTCCATTGTGTAAATGTACCACTTTTTTTTTTAAATCCATTCTTCAATTGAGGGGCATTTAGGTTGTTTCCAGGTTCTGGCTATGAAAAACAATGCTGCTAT